TTGAGATGGAGCCTCACTCTGTCGCCCAGGCTGGAGTGCAATGGCAAGATATTGGCTCACTGCAACCTCTGCCTCCCGGTTCAAGTGATTCTCCCGCTTCAGCCTCCCAAGTAGCTGGGATTACAGGCACCCATCACCACTCCTGGCTAATTTTTGTATTTTTAGTAGAGACGGGGTTTCACCATGCTGGTCAGGCAAATCTCGAACTCCCGACCTCAGGTGATCTGCCCACCTCAGCCTCTCAAAGTGCTGGGATTACAGATGTGAGCCACCATGCCTGGCCCAGAGTTTTAATTTTTATTGTTGCATGAATCATTTTCATTTTTAATGTTACAAATAATATCTCATAAAAATTCTAAACCCATAGCAAGGAAAAAAAATGAAGGTTTATTTTTATCTCCCTCCATAGTTCACTCTGCCTCCCCAAAGGCTCTTGCAAACAATTTTAGGTGCACATTTGCATGCCTTTTCCACATACTTCTAATAAGCGTATGTGCGTGTGTGTGTGTGTGTGTGTGTGTGTGCACGCACGTATGTAATGGGGGAGATATAATGGTTAACAACATGACCTCTAGGGCCAGAGATGGCTTTACAAATGGTCTCCTTTGAATTTGAGTCTGTCTTAACATTCTCTCCCATCAGCCACGAGGCTATACGGGCGCTCAGCATCTTTTCCTTACCTTTCATACCAGTTTCTTGAACACAGTGAAGCTGTAGCAACAAGCCTGGTCTGGAAAGAAGTCTTGGCGAGAGAAGTCCTGGCAAGTCGGATGGTGGCAGGGAGGAGACCAAGAGGTGGCCGAAATCTCGATGGACAGATGCCATGGCCAGGGCTGGGCACAAGCAAATAAAGTCTGGCTTGGTTCTGGGCATCCTGGGCTGCTGGTGGTGTGCCCTTCACTAGGGGGACCACCTTTTGCTTTTAGTGATGACCAGGGGACATGTTGGTGCAGCCTGGCTAAGAGCTGCACAGACAATTGGGAGCGTGATGGGGTTGCTAGGCCGCAGAGAAAGAGCCTCAGGTAGCAGGTCGGGGCCGAGGGCAGTCGTCATAGCGATTAGAAACAGAGTCCGGGGAGACCACCTCGGTGGGAGGCAGTGGCCGAGGGAACGAGGGCAGGGGCTTTTTTTTTTTTTCAGATGGGGTTTCTCCATGTTCATCAGGCTGGTCTCGAACTCCTGACCTCAGGTGATCCACGTATCTTGGCCTCCCAAAGTGCTAGGATTACAGGTGTAATCGAGTCTCGCTCTGTCACCCAGGCTGGAGTCCAATGGTGCGATCTCAGCTCATTGCAACCTCTGCCTCCGGGGTTCAAGTGATTCTCCTACCTCAGCCTCCTGAGTAGCTGAGATTACAGGCACCCACCATCACACCCAGCTAAATTTTGTATTGTTAGTAGAGACGGGGTTTCATCAGGTTGGCCAGCCTGGTCTCAAACTCCTGACCTCAGGTGATCCACCCTCATCAGCCTCCCAAAGTGCCAGGATTACAGGCATGAGCCACCGCACCCAGCCACAAGGGCCTTTAGGAAGCAAACAGATGCTGTGGGGTGACAAGGAGGGAGCCAGGACGGGAGACCAAGAGAACGGGCATCTCATCCTGGCCACATAACCGTGGAGCCTGGGTGGCTCCCCTTGAAAATGGAGCAGCTGAAATAAAGCCTTCCCAGTCCATTCTAGGAGTCTATCATTCTGCATTTCACCTTTAAAATCCTTGGGAAACTGGGGAGACAGAAAGAGCTTAGCGAAGGAAGAAAAGGAACAGCCAAGAACAGCAGTCGCTGATTAGGTGGGTGGAACAGGCACTCGCAGGGGCTTTGGTGCCACCAGAGAAGGGTCTAAGAACTAAGTCACCATCCCTGGGTTTCAGTTGGCTTCACCAAGGGTGGAGGTAAACACCAAGACCCTCTGCACATGCAGCAGAATATTGGAAATAATTTATGTCCCCACTCATGTGCTATATTTCCCCCCATTCGCTTCCTTATGAAAATCTTAGCCTTGCCGGTAGTGGTGGTTCACGCCTATAATCCCAACAGTTTGGTTGGCTGAGGCAGGTGGATCACGAGGTCAGGAGTTCAAGACCAGCCTGACCAAGATGATGAACCCCCCGTCTCTAGTAAAATACAAAAATTAACCAGGAATGGTGGTGGGTGTCTGTAATCCCAGCTACTCAAGAGGCTGAGGCAGAGAACTGCTTGATCCCAGGAGGCAGAGGTTGCAGTGAGCCAAGATTTCGCCACTGCACTCCAGCCTGGGTGACAGAGCAAGATTCTGTCTCAAAAAAAAAAAAAAAAAAAAAAAATCTTAGCCTTTGTGAGGTTTAGGTGCAGGGTAGAAGTTTCCAGCAAGACTCATCCCTCCCTAATGCCCATTTCCCCCAGCCTAAGCTTACTGGGGAGAACAGAACAGAGAAGAGTGAGAAGGGCGGATCACAGCATCCCTCAGAGGAGCTTCCCCAGCACTGCTGGGAGGAGAGGGAGGCCTTCAAGTCTGGCAGAACCTCAGAGCAAGTAGCTGAGCTGTGCCCTGGAGGCTGACTGTTGGTCTGGGCTCCCAGCCTGGCAGACCCAGCCTGGCAGACCTGGCTCCTTTGCCCCAAACATAGCATGAGGGTAGCAGAGCAGCAGCTTGCAGGGACCCCCTGGGCTGGAACAAAAGACCCCCAGCAATAATCAGTGTGGACTAGTGACCAACAGGCAGAGGGCCTCTCCTGACAAGTGGACACCACGGAGGCTCACTGGTACCACCCTGAGCAAGTTCCTGAAATGGAATTTCCATCAACTTGGTGGATTAGGGGCTCAAAGTCAAAATGAGGACGATGAAGTGGAATATAAAGAAACGCAAAGGCTGGGTGCAGTGGCTCAAGCCTGTAATCTCAGCACTTTGGGAAGCCAAGGCAGGCAGATCATCTGAGGTCAGGAGTTCGAGACCAGCCTGGCCAAGATGGTGAAACCCTGTCTCTACTAAAAATGCAAAAATTAGCTGGGCATGGTGGCAGGCACCTGTAATCCCACCTACTCAAGAGGCCGAAGCAGGAGAATCACTTTCACTTGAACCCGGGAGGCAGAGGTTGCAGTGAGCTGAGATTGCACCATTGCACTCCAGCCTGGGTGAGAAGAGTGAAACTCCGTAAATAAATAAATAAAGGGTACTCTTGTAGATATCTGCTCTATCTCCCCAAATAAAGTGAAGTCCTTGACGTCTGGGATCATGTCTCCTTTTTTTGACACAGAGTCTATCTCTGTCACCCAGGCTGGAGGGCAGTGGCATGAACACACCTAATTGCAACCTCCAGATTCAAGTGATTCTCGTGCCTCATCCTCCCAAGAAACTGGGATTACAGGCTTGCGCCACCATACACAGCTAATTTTTTATATTTTTAGTGGAGATGGGGTTTCCCTATGTTGGCCAGGTTGGTCTTGAACTCCTGCCTCAAGTGACCTGCCTGCCTCAGCCTCTCAAAGTTCTGGGATTACAGGCGTGAGCCACCTGTAATGGGATGGGATCCTGTCTTTTAAATCTGTTATAATCCATATAATTCTCCAGTTCCCTGCCTGTAACTGAGTATCCCATCAATGTTGGTGCCCAGGTGGAACTCTGAGGGTTATGTGTGGGCAAGGAGAGGCTATGAAATATCAAAATGTGTAATGAACAAGTTACAAATGTGTAATGTTTATGGATCAATAAAAACACATTTTTTCAAGATGATTTTGTTCTCATCTTTTGAATAAAATGGAAAAGGCAGTAATTGTTCTTATCAAATCTTATTTTTGTTTGGGTGGCTTTGGGGAAATGATGGAGATTACAGGGAAGTTAAAATCTCCCCCACCTGCCACCCAAACCCTCCAGGCCACCCTTGACTTTCAAACAAGCCCAGCTGCCTCTGCGGCCCTGGGAGCCTCCAGAGGTAGAGCAATTCCCACTTATGGCCGCTAGGTGTCAGGTCAGCTCCAAAAGTCCTCGGGAGACTTGTGCTTTGCCTTCTAAACCTGGGACGTCTTTGCAATGCACTTTCTCTAACCTCCCAAACTTCTGCTCCAGAGGAATGCCAGCTTGGAATCTGCTTTTCGAAAGGCCCAGCAGCCCAACCCCTGGGCCGACCACTCCAAGCCTCCGTGTCATTGTGACCACCTTCCACCCTTGTGAGGAAGAAAATCAGGCACCCGGGAAGAGCTCCATGAATATTCATTCCCCTCCTCCAGGCAGCCCGCCATGGAGCTGGGCAGAGCTCAGAGGAGTCCTGCTCCACTAGGCCAAGACTGCACAAGCACTTGTCAGGTTGGCAGGTCAGGAGGCTGGCAGGCAGGAGGACCCCCGCAGCGGCTGCAGCGCTCCCATGGAGGATGATGTGGGGGTAGAGGGGCCTTGCGGGAGCAAGAGGGGCGTCAAGGTCAAAGACAGCTCAGTGGCACTGGCCCAACCTCCAAAGGCGGTCAGCCTGCAGCCCAGGGAGAGGGCACCCAATTCAGTGCGGCTTCATCACTCACGCCTTACATCCTGTTGGAAATAGATGCTCAGTGCTGCAAAGAAAAATCAGCACTGACACAAAGCGTCTTTCAGCAATGCAATTTTTACTTCCTGGACTGCAGGAAGGGTACCCTCACTAGCCATCGTGCCACAAGAGTACAATGAACAAAGGAAAACACACATTTATCTCTTAGGCATTTGGGGTCATCCTTACTGCTGTATCTGATCTCTGTTGGCTGGAGCCAGACCTCACAATCTAAACTAAAACCCCATTGGCTAACAACTTAAAACTTTTCTAATCAGGTAAAAGCCATGGAGAGCTGGGACATGCCTGTGAGCACGTCCAGCACAGATATCTTGGTTAAAGTACATTGAATGTACTACGTGCCTGTAAGCATGGCATGTCTAACAGCTACATAGGATAGGGCTTAACAAAGAGTTATTAGCACTCTTATGATTTATTCTTTAACAAGAAAGGAAACTTTAAAAAGGAACTTTTCTATTTCCCACACATCCTCATGGTGATTCTGCATGGTGAGCACTGTATAATCCCCATTTTGGAGGCCAGGCATGGTGGTTTACGCCTGTAATCCTAGCACTTTGGAAGGCCGAGGTGAGTAGATCATGAGGTCAAGAGATTGAGACCACCCTGGCCATCATGGTGAAACCCTGTCTCTACTAAAAATGCAAGAATTCTCTGGGTGTGGTGGCTCATGTCTGTAGTCCCAGCTACTCGGGAGGCTGAGGCAGGAGAATCGCTTGAACCTAGGAGGCAGAGGTTGCAGTGAGCCAGGATCATGCCACTGCACTCCAGCCTGGCCACAGAGCAAGACTTTGTCTCAAATAAAAAATAAAACCCATTTTGCAGCCAGGGAAAGGGGGGGGGGGCATGGAGAAGTTAAGCATCTTGCCCAGCCAGTAAGTAGCAATGCCAAGATCCAGGCCCTGGCAATATGGCTATGGCTTCCTGAGGGCTTAGCCATGTTGCCTCCCTGCCTCTCTGCCAAGCTGGACGGGCTAATGGAAGGGGGCAAAGGCTGAGATGATGCTCTGTTGTGCCAAATTCTAAGGGCAGGCTGATGCATTCTCCCCACTTCTGCATGGCTTGGAAGCTGTGCTGGGTGTGGTCCAGTGGGAGGAGTGTGGATACCTATGCGCCAGAACTGTGAATGGGTTAAGCCTGTGAATTCTGGCATTTGACACTTCTGGGTTTGAATTCTGTTTGGCTTCACCAATGACCATCTCTGTGACTGAGCAATTCATTTGTCCTCTCTGAATCTCAGTTTGCTCATCTGTAAAAGGGAATGATAGCGGTACCACCTCCTCTATAGGGTGCGTTCTCTGTGGCTGGAACAGATGGCAAGGGAGAGCGTGGGAGTGAGTTCAGAAGGAACGTGGCCAGGTCAGGTGGGGCCTTGACGGCCATCGGAGAACGTGACTGTGAAGATTTAATGAAATCACACACATGAAACACCAAACCCAAGGCCTGGCATACCAGAAGTGCCTAATATAAGCATGCCTTCCTCACAGCGGTGTTCCACTCCTAAGAGAGAGAGTTATGGGGGGCTGGGGGAGCAGCAGAGCCCAGGAGGGGCCAAACTGAGCAGCCATCTTTGAAACACCCAACTAATAGGTGTTGGCAATTCCACAGGAGGTGTTCTAATCTCAGGCCATGGCTTCAGGCTCGAATAAAAACAGAAGAATCTGTCCAGGGTCTTGGAGGGCGGGGTGGGAAGGCCAGGGGCCAGCAGCACTTGGGGGGGTGGTGTGGGCAGTGTATAATCACAGGCCTGAAAGAACAGGAGACACAGAGACATCCCGCTTATTTTTCGGCTGCGCTCCTGAGCTGAAAATGCCCCACCTTACAAGTCACAGGGACAAGCTGGGACATTGGATCATGCCTACCCAGACATCCACTCCAAATACAGGAGCTGGCGCCAAAGAACCAAGGGCCACAGAGAATTCCCTGTGGTCGCTGCAGCGCTGAAGCTCAGTGGAGTGCCCAGGGCAGCGGTGGTCACGGTGCAGGGGGTCATTATGGTCTCAGGCCTGCAGGTTCATGATACAAACGGCAGCCTCTGCTGTCTGACTGTGGTGGCAGCTGCGGTGTCCTCAGGGGACCAGGCCTGCCTTGTCAAGTGGGGGCTTGGGATTTGTTTTGTTTTGTTTTAAACAAAAGAACACAATGATTGTCAAGGCCAGCCTGTGCCCTAAACATGGGTTCCTGCCCAGTGGCCTTGAACTTTTCTTCAGGAAGCAGGCATCATGGAGGGGAGGGAACCCAAGGGCAGCTGGGGTGAGGCTGCCCTGGGCCAGGGGCTCCTTTTAAGGAAGGTCAGTGGGGGAACCCTCAGAGGGCTTCGGCTTGTTCTGCCACCACCCTGGGGAGTCTGTGGATGAAACAAAGTGACTGGCTAAATGCTGTGGCGTCCAAGCTACTGGAGACATGACTCTTGTGCCTGTGTGGATGTGTTCTCTAATGACAAAGAATGTCATTGGTCTTCTTCCCGGTTCTTGGCACAGAGCTTCAAAAACCCTTGGAATTTCCTGAGAGATGAAAATCTTCGTTATGCTAATGAGGTGGCTCAGGGTGGACCCCTATATCACTTTAGGCAGGGGCTGGTCACCAGATAGACCACCCACAGGATTAAAGGTTGGGACTTTCAGCCAACTAACTCCAAGGAATGAGGGAGGAGGCTGGAGATTGAGTTTATCATGCGGCCAGTGTTCAGTAGTCAAGTGTAGGCAATGGAGCCCCAATAAACACTCTGCACACTGAGGCTCTGCGGAACTTCCCGGTTGGTAAACACACTGAGATGCCACAGGCTGGCAATCCCTGATTCCATGGAGAGAGGACATGGAAGCCGTGTGCTCCCTCCCAGTCCTTGCTCTCTGTTGCTCTTCGTGTGCCTGTTCCCAAGCTGTATCTTTATAATAAAGCTGTGATTTTGTAAGCACAGTATTGTGCTTTCAGTGAGCTTTGAATCATTCCAGCAATTTATCAAAACTGGAGAAGCAGTGAGGATGCTTAAATTTGCAGGTGGTTAGGGACCCTACGTGCCCCTGGTACTAAGATAGGGGCAGTTCTGTGGAGGACTGAGCCCTGAAGCCAAAGTCTGCTGCCAACCCTGGGGGGGTTGGTGTCAGAACTGAATTACAGTTACTCCCGTTGGTGTTCCTCCCAGTGGGATGGAAATGGAGCAAGCGTATGCAGCAGCATGTTCACATGTGAATTTCAGAGATGGGGTGTGTGTGCTCCAGTGTAGCCATGTCCCCAAACAGGGGCTTGTGTGTGAGCTAAGTCCAAGTCCCGTCTGCTTTCTGACCTACGTCTAATAACCCAGGTTCAGTGCAGCCACTCCCAGCTGTACGTCTACTTTCCCAGCAGAGGGTGCTCCAACCTCACAAGTCCCCCATCTCTGTACCCTTTTCCAGCTCTGGAAGGATCAGTGTGAGATGCACATAAGAAAAGAGGACCCCCCCCAACACCACCACCCCCTCACCCCCACCCCCCCGCCCCGGCTCAGGAAAATCAAATTCTCATTAGGTGCCCTCAGAAACGCAGTAATGCAGCCGGCTTCAGTGATAGATTGCACCGGGGGAGCCTGGGCCGGAGGCTTCAACCTCCCTGCGACATCCAGGTTCTGTGGGAGCTTTCAAACAACTTTGGGGCCCTCTTTGAAAAAAAAAATACATACAACCCCCAGAATATTTTTATCCCCTAAAGAAAAAAAGAAAAAAGAAAAAAAAAATACAGTCTGGCCTGGTGGCTCACGCCTGAATCCAAGCACTTTGGGAGGCAGAGGCAGTTGGATCACAAGGTTAGGAGTTCAACACCAGCCTGACCAAGGTAGTGAAACCCCATCTCTACTAAAAATACAAAAATTAGTGGGCGTGGTCACAGGCTCTTGTAATCCCAGCTACTCAGGAGGCTGAGGCAGAGAAGTGCTTGAACCCGGGAGGTGGAGCTTACAGTGAGCCGAGATCTCGCCACTGCACTCCAGTGACAGAGTGAGACTCCGTCTCAAAATAAAATAAAATACAAATTCACAAATACAATGTTAAGGATAGAAAGTGGATATTTAGAATGAGAGGGAAGAATGACAACAAATGGCGCGTTTTCTTAAAGCTGACAAGACCGTAAGCATCCAATCCCACCAGGGCCTTGGAAGGGCCCTCATTGCAGTGTGGGTCCCTGCAGCTTGCATTTTCTCAGCTTCTCAGCAACTCTGCCCCACCTGCCGCATCCAGAAGCTGCGGGAAGGGAAGTCCAGGCAGCAACCAGGCACCTTCCTGATGCAGAGACTGATTTTTTTTTTTTTTTTTTTTTTTGAGACGGAGTTTCGCTCTTGTTACCCAGGCTGGAGTGCAATGGCGTGATCTTGGCTCACCGCAACCTCCGCCTCCTGGGTTCAGGCAATTCTCCTGCCTCAGCCTCCTGAGTAGCTGGGATTACAGGCACATGCCACCATGCCCAGCTGAATTTTTGTATTTTTAGTAGAGACGGGGTTTCACCATGTTGACCAGGATGGTCTCGATCTCTTGACCTCGTGATCCACCCGCCTCGGCCTCCCAAAGTGCTGGGATTACAGGCGTGAGCCACCGCGCCCAGCCTGAGACTGATTTTCTTCTTAAGCCCACCCTGCCAAGAAAAAGGGTTGGGTCCGGGCGTGGTGGCT